ACTGTGACGCCGCCTCTCACCTCAACCTCCCGTGATTCAATATCCTCATGACACCTGGCCAACGCCATGCAAAGGAGATTCGTCAACTGTATTCATGCGCGCATACGTATGAGCGTTGGCGTGAGCTGCGAGATGAGGGATTGAGCGGCTGGCAGATGCAAAGAAGGGAAAAGAAAAGACAGATCGCCAGGAAAGCAATCTGATTGCGCTGGCTGATGGATGCTTCGCGAGCTCCTTCTCTCTTCTTTATCTTCTTTCCTCTTTCTCTGCTTATCTCCAACTCTCCCGAGCCTCCGTCTCTTTCTCCAAACTCGTTGACAGCATCAATCAAAGAAGAAGTCTCTGAGCATAACGTGACACGCGCGCACACACACACACACACACACGCACACACACACACACACACAAACTACCATGCGCAAATACACAGTGATGATGAGCTCCCCTCGAGAACGATTTATTTGTTTTGAAGAACAACTTCTTTTAATGTATGGAGGGATGATGATGATTTGCTTTTCAGGAGTTAATTTTTTATGGCTGACACAGGCAGGGGAGTGATGCTGATGAAGGCCGCCCCGCTGCTTCCGCTCATCACTCAATCAAACACAAAGTATCAACAAAATGAAGTACTGTTTTTCAGTCTCGGCGATGACTTTCCATTGATCACGCGCTAAGCCATAACCTTTAACTTGACCCAATCCAATCAAGTAGCATCTGCTCAAGATGCCTTTGCATTGCATGCAGGAAAAATCCTATTAAGTTAAGAAAAAACTTCTTACATATAAAAAGAAAAAGTTTTCCTAAACAAACTGGTTCTATGTATAAAAAAATGTAATTAACAGCTAATTAGAACAAGTCCATAAAGGGTGCCGTATCCCAACATGGTGCCATTATAGGTGACGGTTGTTGGGTGCTGACGAAGGTGAAAGTCAAGTCATTTGCTGACAAGCTACAGTTTGAATTCAGAGCAGAACAGACCACCCCAAGAAGACCTAAAAACACTTTAGGGATACACAATAAAGAGCCAGTTACACCAAGCCTGTTCTGGTTACCCTGGAACAGCAGCATTTCCTACCACCTAAGTAAAATTAAGATAAATGTACCTTTGCTTGATGTGTTTAAAGATATAGTGCACCTCAGTAGACCTAAATGCTAACAGTAGCATGCTAACAAGTTCACATTACGAATACAAACATGCCGATTACAATCCAAGTACACAGTGAGCAGAGACCAGGATATCTCAGTGGGGTCCTGCTACTTGTAGGGATGTGCTGATACCAGAAATTTAGCAGTCGAGGATCAAAAGAATTACACGATTCTTGATACCCAGGTCAACATGAAATCAAAATGATCATCCATTGTAATGAAAGATCCATTATTAAGAACCTTCTAAACCGTTTAATAAAAATTTCATTTTGGCCAGTAAAAACAGCAACAGGGCAAAAACTGAAATATTTTCCACTCACTCCCAACTGGTTGGATTTGCCGTAGGTTCCGGCCTGTTAAAAGGGATTTTTTCCTTCTCACTGTTGCCACTGCACTTGCTCAGTGGGACAGTAATACGATTGTTGTGGTTTAATTTATTTTCTCTGTGTCATTGTAGGGTTTTACCCTACAGTATAAAGCACCTTGGAACTAGTTGAATATTAGGATGGCTGCTGAGTAGCCTACTACAGGGTATAACGTTAGTTACGGGACTTTAGCTTAAGCATTTCTATAACAGAAAACATTTTAGCTAAAGTAATAAAGCTAATTTCAGACCAGCTGTCCCAAACAAGATGGTCATGGAAATTTTAGGGTAACATCAGAAGGATAATTCATTCAGATCTGGATGCTAGCCTTTTAGGTGCTTCACTAAATTGGAAGTTTTTCCTTCCCTTTGTGTGAAAAGTACAGTAGCGCTTATAACCATTTGTAGGTGTTGCCCCTGTCAGCGCTGGAACAACTGCAGTCTCATCACATAAGTTTCCTACAGTATGTACCTACAGCACTAAATGGGGAAAAAAAAAAAAGGAAAAAAGAAACAAGTAACATCTCATTTTTAGAATTTTGGCATTAAAAGTGTCAATTCTTCTGACATCCCTGTAACAAAGTAGCCATCAGCAACACAAAAGTGCGCCAACTAAAACCACATTATCACCAAATGAAGTGAATATCAGCGTAAGATGGGGTGGCAAATGTTTAAGAGGGTTACATACGCCACAAAGTCTGGATCATCCAATAGCAACAACTGTCCCCTATTACACAACGAGTGACAAATAAAACAATTTCTATTTGAAGGTGGTTTATAGATTTTAACATTTTTGGACAGACAATGTTTCTAGATAAGAAACTAGGGAGTTAAAAAGCATTCATAAATCATACTAGTATCATGTGTTAAACAGTTTACAAACACTTTATTGTAACGTGTCAAATTCCAGTCATGAGTCATCTTCTTCGGACAACGAATGTGTTTCAAATGGATCATCGGAGATATTTCAGTCTTTGCCCAGTTTCACAGAAACTGGTTAAATCGGTGGATTATCTGTTATTAATGGAACAACAATGTGTTTCTAAGAGAGCAAACTGCTGATGCATTTTTAAAACATGTTCAGAAACTAAATGCATTTACCACCACTGCATTTGGACAGCTGTGAACATCTGTGGCACAAAACCTGATTTCAGCACAGTGGGATTTGTGTGTGTGGGGTTTTTTTGTTTGGGTAATCCAGGCCTTAAACGGTGTAGAATAGAAAAGATGAATATTGTAGGATGCTACTTAAATAAACCTGGGAAAAGCTCAGTTTTCCAAAGCACAGCAATTTGAAATTCAGTCCTTCAATTACAATACCAACATCTTCCCCTTGGAGGCCTCTCTGCCCCAGGATGAAGAACAACACCTTGTATGGTTCAGAGAGCGTTTACTTAACATCAGTTTCTCTCGGTCCTTCCTGACTGTCATTAATATTCTAGGAAACAAATTGCCTTATTTTTCCTGCTGCGTCCGTGGGGGGATATTGATATGGACCTGGGGAGGCTGCATGTCAACTACTGCTGAATAATGTGACCCCTCGGTCTCATTTCCATAACAAACACACACAGATACTCATGACAAATACGAATAACTAAGTCCTCTATACTGCCATGTTATGATCATCTGTAAATAACAACACTGTGTATATCCAACGTGACCAGGCGGGCTTTGTGTGTGTGTGTGTGTGTGTGTGTGTGTGTGTGTGTGTGTGTGTGTGTGTGTGTTGCAGGGCCAAAGTGATTACCAAGAAATACATGAAAGCCATATATAAAACCATGTGTGAAGCATGGATATAGATAAATAATGTGTCTGTGTATGTACACACTGCCTGGGGCACAGAGTTATAAGATGTTGCCATATATGAAGCCTTCAGCAGACAAAGCACACAGATTTTTAAATTTAAAGATGGGCAGCGTAGATCCTCCCACACACATCCTTCATCACAATAAGATATAATAAAGTAAAATAAATACACTTATTTATCTTTAATATTCTTTCTTTGCTGTGTTTGAATAGATTTAAATGACTACGCCAAAATAGAAATTGCATCTCTAAGAATTCAAAGGGTTGTGATCCCGTACATTTTGTTTGTTTTTAACACTGTAAGTTAAGATTTTCCATAAAACTTTCAAATCAACTTTGTCATATTCTTAAGGCACCTGTGATTTTTCTGCTTTCAGCTGTTTGAAAAAGGTATGTCTGTCATTATGACAAAATAGAAACACAACAAAGTGAGTGTCAGTAGGAGCTTTTCAGTATTAAAATACTTCTGATGTTTGTAAGGTCTATCTATTGTTTATTACACTACACACAAAATACTGTAGTTGCAGGAAGCGCACTCATAGCAAAGCAGGTTTTACCTGTATGAGAACTCAAAGACAGTTTTTTCATTAAAATGGCTGTTAGCTAGGAGCAGGCCACGGTTCAACACCACCTTGATAAAATATGACGTAGTCCCGCAGTTCAGTCCACTCAAGAACCTTGTCAAAAACAGCACCTCTGGTGTTCAGATACG